TATAAAACTCTTATTTTTAGTTATTTTTTATGGATAATTATAGTTTCTATAAAATTCTAAAAATTAACTAATAAAATCAATCACATTCTATATAAAACTCTTATTTTTAGTTATTTTTTATAGATAATTATCACAATATAACCGGCCCGGCCCAATTATGATTATGTCATTATCAGAAAAAGACACATGTCATCATCCTATTCATCCAAGAAGCCTATAAATAGAGGCATAGAGGAAGGAGGAAAGGGTACAGAAATTGAGAATTCTATAAATTCATAATTCCAGAGTAAAATACAGAAGCTCTGCCAAAGAGTTTCAGTATTTATTTATTTATATAAAAAATATTTATTAATTGAGTTAAATTTCATAGTAAAATACAAAAACTCTGTTAAGAGTTTTCAGTATTTATTTATTTCTATTAAAAAATATTTATTAATTGATATAAAAAGAGTTTTAATCTATATTATTATTAGATGTGTGAAGAGTTTCATTATTTATTTATAGAAAAAAATATTTATTAAATGATATGAAAAGAGTTTTTACTAAAACAAAAAAAAAAAAAAAAAAAAAATCTATAAAACAGTAAAATCTACATAATAAAATTTAAATTTACCTATTTATCTATTTATTATTATCCATTTTTAATGAAAGAAAATCTAATTAGACAAGATTTATTAATATAAAAAATATTTATTAATTGATATAAAAAGAGTTGAATTTCAGAGTAAAATACAGAAGCTTTGTCAAAAAGTTTGAGTATTTCAATATTTATTTATTATTTATTTGTATAAAAAATTATTTATTAATTGATATAAAAAGAGTTTTTATCTATACTATTATTAGATGTGTAAAGAGTTTCAGTATTTATTTATTTATGTAAAAAAATATTTATTAAATAATATGATAAAACACTAAAATCTACATAATAAAATTTAAATTAACCTATTTATCTATTTATTATTATCAATTTTTTTAATAAAATAAATCTAATTGGACAAGAATTATTAATATAAAAAATATTTATTAATTGATATATAAAAGAAAATAATTTTTATATAACTCTACTATGAGTTTCTTAATAAAATTAAATCTAATTAGACAAGTATATATTTTTAAAAAATAAAATAATTTCTATAAAACTCTATTACAAATTACGTATTTTATTTTCCATAAAACTCTATCAACAGAGTTTCTATAAAACTCTAACACAAATTACCTGTTTATCTATTTATTATAAGTTTTTTAATAAAAAAGAAACCTAATTAAACAAGTATTATTAATATAAAATTTATTTATTAACTAATACAAAAAGAGTTTCAGTATTTCGGTATTTATTTATTTATATAAAAAAATATTTATTAATTGATATGAAAAAAGTTATTATAAAAAAAAAAAAAATAATCGAAAAAAAAAAAACTCTGTAAAACTCTCAAAACTATCTAATAAAATTCAAATTAACCTATTAATCTATTTATTATTATGAATTTTTTAATAAAAGTAAATTTAAAGTTTCAGTATTTATTTATTTATTTAAAAAATATTTATTAAATGTGGAATGAGTTTTAATATTTCAGTATTTATTTGTTTATATAAAAAAATATTTATTAATTGATATAAAAAGAGTTTTTATAGAAAAAAAAAACTTCTATAAAACTCTAAAATTTACCTAATAAAATTCAAATTAACTTATTTATTATTATCAATTATTTAATAAAAGAAAACCTAATTTTCTGAGTAAGATACAGAAGTTGTGCCAAGGTGTTTAAGTATTTATTTATATATATAAAAAAATATTTATTAATTGATATAAAAAAAGTTTTTATCTATAATATTATTATATGTGCAAAGAGTTTCTGTATTTAACTATCTATTTTTATAAAAAAAAATATTTATTAATTGATATGGAAAGAGTTTTTATATATATAAAAACAAAATGTCAATCAACCTCTAAAATCTATCTAATAAAATTTAAGTTAATCTATTAATCTATTTATTATTATGAATTTTTTAAAAAAAGAAAATCTAATTAGACTAGAATTATTAATATATAAAATATTTATTAATTGATATATAAAATAAAATAAATTTTCTAAAATTCTACCATAAATTAACTTTTATTATGAGTTTCTTAATAAAAATAAATCTAATTAAACAATGATATATTTAAAGAAAATAAAATAATTTTTATAAAACTCTATCACAAATCACAAATTTTATTTTCAATATAACTCTATCACAATAGACGAAGATATAATATTTAAAGAGTTTCTATAAGATTTTAACTCAAATTTTCTATTTATGTATTTATTAAGTGTTTTTTTTTAATAAAAGGAGATCTAATTAGACAAGTATTATTAATATAAATAATTATTTATTAATTGATCTAAAAAGAGTTTTTAAAAGAGTTTCTATAAAATTATATCACAAATTACCTATTTATTTATTTTTAATAAAAGAAAATCTAATTAGACAAACATTATTAAGATAAAAAAATATTTATTAATTAATATAAAAAGTTGTTTGGAAAGAGTTTCTATAAAACTCTAACACAAATTATTTTTTTATCTATTTATTATGAATTTTTTAATAAAATGAAATCTAATTAGACAAGAATTATTAATATAAAAAAATATTTATTAATTGATATAAAAAGTGTTTTTTAAAGAATTTGAATTAAATTGTAACAAAAATTACTATTTATTTATTTATTATAAATACATTTCCAGAAAATATAATAATTTCTATAAAATTGTACCACAAATTATCTATTTTATTTTCTTTAAAACTCTATCACATATAACTTGTTTTTATCTATTTATTGTGAGTTTTTTTATGAAGGAAATCTAATTAGACAACAATATATTTAAAGAAAATAATTTTTTTTTTAAAAAAAGTTTATATAAAATTCTAATAAAAATTACCTATTTATGTATTTATTATGAATTTTTTAATAAAATATAATATAACTAGACAAGAATTATTAATATAAAAAATATTTAATAATTGCTATAAAAAAAAATTATTTTTCTAAAACTCTATCACAAATTATCTTTTATTATGAGTTTTTAATAAATAAAAAAATATATAATTAGACAAGGATATATATATTTAAATAAAATAAATAATTTATATAAAATTCTACCACAAATTACCTATTTTATTTGCAATGAAACTCTATTGCATTAGATAATGATATATTTAAATAGTTTTTATAAAACTCTAACACAATTTACCAAAACTTTACTACAAATTAAATATTTTATTTTCTTTAAAACTCTATCACATATAACCTGTATTTATCTATTTATTATAAGTTTTCTAATAAAATAAAATCTAATTAAATAATGATATATTTAAAGAAAATAAAACAATTTCTATAACTCTATCACATTAGACAAGGATATATTTAAAGAAAATATATAATAATATAATAATACATATAAATAAAATATAAATGTTAAAGAATTTGAACAATGCAGTATTTATTTTTTAATATAAAAAATATTTATTAATTAATACAAAAAGATAACTCTATCACATACAAGTATATAACCCTTGTATTTATCTATTTTTTATGAGTTTTTTAATAAAAGAAAATCTAATTTTAGAAAGATATATCTTAATAAAATAAAATAATTTCTATAAAATTCTACCACCAATTACATATTTAAAGAAAATAAAATATAACCTAGGGTCTTCCAAAAACCACAAACTCCATATAATAAATTTTTATATCAATTTCAATCTAATGTATAATTAATATAATTGAATTTCTATTTTAAAATTTAATTAAAAATTAATATAATTGAATTTCTATTGTAAATTAAAAATTATACTAAATTTCAAATTATTTAATAAAATTCAAATTACAAATTACCTAATAAAATTCAAATTACCTAAAAAAATTTGTTACTTTGCAAAACTTAAATATTTCACTATTAAAATAAAAAATTATTATTTAATAAAAAATAAAATATACATATTTCAGTATTAATATAAAAACATAAAAGAATTTATTAATTTAGGAAACTTAAACTCTATCAAATATTTCAGTATTTATTTATTAATATAAAATAAATTTTTATTAATCAATATGAAGACAAAAATTTTATAAGTTACAAAATATTCACCACGTGTATCGCACGTGCCTTTTCCTAGTATATATATATATATATATATATATATATATATATATAAATAACCATGTAACTATGAGATGTTCCATTTAAAGTTCGTGTCCTACGTCTTAGTAATAGATTAGTGTTGTTGGTATTACAATTTATAAGGAGGCCGTATGCTAATAAAAGAAAAAATAGCACAGGGTGATGTATCGGAAAGATTTGTATTCTGCCTTTTGTATTATCAATTAATTATATTTTGTATATTAATAAAAATATTTTATTTTAGTGAGTTTAATTATTACATGTTAATATTTAATTAGTTGGTGGTATAATATTATTAACAAACTAAATAAATAATTGATAGTAAAGAGAATGATATGCTAAAAAGTTAATATATGGATGATATGAATAAAAAAATTTCACAGTAATATATATATATTTTTATTATTATTTTTTTTTTGGGAATTAACCCTATACATGTGCTATACATACTAGCTCCAATGGAGGCAGGATAATGAAATTCATAATTAAATACACAAAAAAACAATAATAAAAAGTCAAAACCAATGGGATAAATAAGAACTTCCCCATGCTATGGTTGTTTTTCCAGGGAAATGGAAATCGAATTTGCTTAATTCACCTCCAAAAGATCCCCATCCCTATTTTTTTTAATAATAGTTGGTCCATTTCATGCAATGGCATTAATTTTTTATTTTGATGAAATAAAAAAATCCTACAAATAAAAAAAAAAAAAAAAAAAAAAAGGACAGCACCTTCTGAGGGCGCGTCGGACATTTTAACAAAAGTAACGTGTCTTACTATCATTGGTCCGACATACTTTCTTTTCTGCTGTGATGTACGATGAACACCACCTTGATATTTAGATGGCAGCCACCGAAAACGAAGGTCTCAGTTGCATTCTCATCTGTTATATCTGTGAGACAAGTATTTGGGAGTCTCCTCTCGCTATATATATATATCGCCAAGCTCTATATTTTCTGCATCCATTTCTGTTTAATCGACCTCGATCTTCTCCAATCATCTCTCTACACCATGGTGAGTATCACACTTTTATTTCTCTATGGTTTCTTTTTTGTGCTTTTAGTCGATTTCCGTGTATGCATGTGTATATCTGTGTAAGTATGCATTATATTTGTTTGAATTTACATGTAATTTTTTGCTCAATCTATGATCTCCTAGGTTTTTTTGTGAAGAAACCCTATGTAATTTAGGTTTTTGTGAAGAAATTCTAGTTCGTTTATTTGATTTAGGTTTGACTGTTAGTTAATCATTATTCTTCAGCTCATAGATCTGTTTTGCGCTAATTGTGGGTAGTGATTTCTGAATGTCATGTAGATTATGATTTGTGTAGTTGTCTAGTAATTGGTTGTTGGATTCGATCGCTGATTTTTCAACTGGATTTAGTGTTGATTGTTGTCAAATCAGTGGATACCTAATGAAGTTTTTGAAAAATATGAGATTATACATTGGTTTAATTGTATTTTTAGACTTAAAAGCAAAAATAAGCTTCAATTGTGTCTCTAAATTCCATGTTTAATTGTGTAGTATTTTTTTTAATTAAGGATTGTTTAGTTTCCTTGTGTAATTGATGTTTCATGATTGGATATAGATTTCATTATGGTACATAGAAAATTTAGAAAAAGTTCAGCGTGTTTGGTTATGTCTCAAGAAATGCATATGTAAAGGATCAAAAAGATTATGAGGTTTTCTAAAAGTATTAAATTTTAGATGGAAAAGATTTTGGGAATGCACTTCTTGATTGAAATGCACTCTAAAAAATAAGCATGGCCTTTTTTTTTTATAAAGAAACTCGCAATGCATCCTGCCATGCCCTTACACTTACTTCCTATTGTGAGGGAAAAATTAATTTTAAAAATAAAGGCAACGACCACTTCATTGTTTGTGTGATTTTTCTTGTCAAGAAATTGTCTGTTATCCTGCTATAACTTTGTTGATCCTTTCAAGTTCCTCTGATACAGAACTAGTTCTGTTGTATATTTTTAGGGATGGGGACAAATGGTGGTTTATTCCGTGATACTTCTTTTACTTTGAAAAACAAGTATCTTGAGCTTAGAACCATCCTAAATCTCGTTTGCTCTTATGCTCTACTTGTGTTAATTGATTATGTGAGGATTTTGAATCTGATGGCTTTTTATGAGAAAAAAAAAAGGAGTTTTTGGTAGCCAGCTAGATAAATTACATACTATAAATTGGGAAAAAAATCAAGAAAATTTGTTTACAACAAAAGATACTGTATTATGCCACCTTATTATCATTTTTAAAAAGTATAACAATACAGTCTATTATTTATTCATAGAATTTTATTAGTTATAAGTGGATATTCTGCAATGGATTTCATAACACTCTGTTTTGGAGATCAACAAGCAGCCTTCGTTGGGTCCCCCTGCTTCTTGACTATTTTTTTATAAAAAATTAGATATGATTTAGCTGGTTTATTTTAGACTGATAGATTGTTAATTACATATGATTTAGCTGGTTCATGTTATAACTGATAGACTGTTAATTTTGGCTTTGTCTTCAGTTTCCTCTGTATGACAACTTGTAGTTTGCCCACGGTTGATGACTTCAATCATTTTTAATTTAAACTGAGCCATCATGATTCAAGACATGAAGATTTTTTGATTTTTTAATTTTCTATTGTTGATATATTTTTGGCAATGATTACTTGATAAATGTTACTTGTTTTAATTTGAACAATTCTTATTTCATTACCTACTATTTGTTTATGAATCGTCATCCTCAAGTGAAGAAGTCATATGAATCTAATGAATATGGTTAGCTTTCTCTACTACATCCCGAATGTTGTTGGTAATTGGACTTTGTTATGGGCAAAAGTAGCGCTTTTACATAACATGGTTGATTTAACCTCGCTCTTTTGATATTTTATTTGAACACATGTTGGCAAAATAAGCATGTTGATTCTTTTAACTATATAAAGGAAAAGAAAGGGAGGGGGTAAGAAAATAATAAAGAGATAGGATAGGATAGGAGATAGGAGAGGGCGGGCATACAACGTACTTCAAGTCTGTTGTTCACAGCAAGAAGATGAGAAAGAAAGAAAAAAGGTATATTGCCACATGCTTGCCTCTAAAATATGAGCAAAGGGAGAGAGATAGACCAAGAGAATGGAAGGGATATGGAGAGAGAACTGCCCTACCATGTATTTCTCCAAGTTATTTTATACTAATGCCTTGCTCTCTTTTTTCCTAAGAGGCCTATTTGTAAGCGCTGCAAAACCTTAATAGCATATAATTACCTTAAAAATTAACCCTAACCAACATGGTAATACACTAATAACTTGGGACATAAATTTTGTTCTTACAAGACTAAAAATTCTAAATGCAATAAAATACAGGAATAATTTGTAGGAAAGATTCCCAACATTCTTTTATAAATTTTTATAGGTGATTTGAGACCTACATAGGGAACAATGTGGTTGCTTTATCGTGACAAATTGTATTTTTGGCACGTTAGCATTATTACTGATGATAAAAAGGAACATTTGTTGAAAACTGAAAGGTGATTTGGTGTCCTTGGTTAGAAACCTTTAAGATTTATATCACGTCATTTCATTTTGGTTTTGTTATGTATTCTATGTACAGGCTAATGCAGCGTCAGGGATGGCTGTGCATGATGACTGCAAGCTGAAGTTCTTGGAGTTGAAGGCAAAAAGAACTTACCGCTTCATAGTATACAAGATTGAAGAGAAGCAAAAGGAAGTTGTTGTGGAGAAGGTTGGCGAGCCAGCTCAAAGCTATGAGGATTTTACTGCAAGTCTCCCTGCTGATGAGTGTCGATATGCTATATATGATTTTGACTTTGTGACAGAAGAGAATTGCCAAAAGAGCAGGATTTTCTTCATTGCATGGTAAAATTACATGATAGCAATCATTTGTTTCCTTTTTAAATTTCACTCTTAACTTTGTTGTTTGTTTTCTAATTATTTAAAAAGGTCCCCTGATACGGCGCGGGTGAGAAGCAAGATGATTTATGCAAGCTCCAAGGACAGATTCAAGAGGGAACTAGATGGGATTCAGGTAGAGCTGCAGGCAACTGATCCAACTGAGATGGATCTCGAGGTTATCAAAAGCCGTGCCAATTAAACAATCCCTGGTCTTGCAATGAAGTCCTTCATGCTTTTTATTTACCTATGAAAAATGTTAATAGTTTGTGGGACGTTAAACCTGGCTAAGATATGATATCGGGTGGTTGAAGTTATATGTTCCATAACAAATTCAGTGGTCTCGAGCAATATTTTATAATTTGCCTTGTTTGGAACTCATGTTCTCATCTGTGAGCTATATGTTGTGTACCGTTCATATGGGGTTGGATAACACCTTTTTGTTTTACCTTTTACAACTTTGCAATTGGATGCTTAACCTTTTTTTGGTTCAAATTTCTGGACATGTTAACGTGATCTCAGCTGAGTATTGTCTTTGTGTATTTTGTGGTTGCCGGAGACAGATGTTCATAGTTGACGTAGGCAGCATAATCCCTTAACAGTAGTTGGTTATGCAAAACATCCTGCTAACCGTCATTAAGTTGATCGGACGACTGGGCAATTTTTATCTTCTGAACTGATCTTCTCCACAGCTGTTCCTCCTTATCCTGAGAATTTTTACTCTTTTAACCGATTACCTCCACTGCTGTTCTTCCTCCTTGATACAAAAACGGAACTTCAATTCCAAGTTTTCAACCTTAAGCAGAAGTGGTGTAACCAAAAATGTCAAATTTGATAAAAATGTGAGATAAGCTTAAAATGATAAGGAAAAAACAAATAGTATAGATTGTGCAGTCCTTTTTTATAATCACCTCAACTGTACAAACACTAGCAAGCTCATGCAATTGGTTTGTCATTTTGGCTCTATACATTGATTTATATAAGGTTCCAAGAGCATACCTCCTGTACTTCCCCCATCAAATTCCCATAGAAGGTTATATTTAGGAATCCACCTTGGGCAAAGCAAGTTTCATTTTTAATCATATGTAAAGAGGAATTCTCTCAAAAGTTCAGAACATGGAAAACTCTCTGATGTTGAAGCATATCAATGTTTATAAATAGTTTGAAGTCGGAAACAATTGAAGCATCTAATAGGATAAAAGAGAGAACCGAAAAACCACATATAATAAAGTACTATGTACTTCTCCACAATGTGCTCAACTTGCTGGATTCTCAGATAGTGTTTGCTACTGTGGTTTCCAAAACAGAAATAACCTTGATAGCATACATAACAAATTAAAGCTGAAACTTTCATACAGTGGGTCATGGGCATATCTGCATTGTCACTCTCAAAATGTCACTTAATATGCAACTGAAATTGCAAAACCAACCATAAGAATGTTCAAAGTTTACAGCTCGCTTGAATTGTGTTACTCATATGTACAGGCATCCTCATGAGAGCTGAACTTACTAAGCAACATAAGCAGTGTAGCACTTGAGGTGGATCGGTAATTCAACCAATTGTAGCTAGGTTGTTCACCGAACATCTGTATCAACTACCAACAAAGAAAAGGGTAAAACTGTTCCTCAAAGCCATAATCATATCTATTATGTTAATCAGGATGAGTGACACTAGTGGTCTCAAAATGATTTTCTGAACTACAAAACTTTGTATTTACATGGCTTGTACATGCCAAATCACTAGCAGCGGCATCCTAACCGAAACCTATGAGACGAGTATCAGAGAAGTAACAAAACCAACAAATAAAAACCATATGAATATCCTGAAGAAAGAAATGTCTACCTATAAGTGAACTCTCAATGGAGAATGTGGTCTGCCTATAATTGAACTCTCAATGGAAAATGTGGATAATGAACCCATAACATGTGTTTTCTGGATAAGGAAGAAGAAAGATGAGTGCTACATAATAATGATGAGAGATATATATAAGAGAATAAAATGAAGAAAAAAGAAAAAGAAAAGCATCAACAGGTTCAATCAACCATACATATTCTAACTGCTCAACTGTAAAAATTTGTAAAAGGCAGTATATACACAACAAACTCGACAAACAAGAATGGGGAAATTTCAGCAAACTATACTAGATGAAAATTAAATAATAGAAGTGCACAACAAATTAATTTGCAACAAAATTAACCAACAGATTTTTTTTTTTTTTTTTTTTTTTTTTCCTAGTTGGTACTCACACACACGTTTCTTCTGAGACTTGAACCCCTAAACTCCCTTTGGGAAGTAAGAGGCTAATACTGCTAGGCCAGTGGCCCGTTGGTAACCAACAAAATTGATTCATTTTGCAAGAGGACTATTATTACAACTTTAATAAAAAATAAAAAATAAAAATCCTTGCAACTACACAACTTAATTGGGGAGCAGTAATTATCCGCCGGGGGGTTGGTTATTCTATGTTGTTAAATGAACTAATCTGCTAAAGGTTTCTCTCAACAGGAGGTTGTCCATCCTTCAATCATAAGTTACATTCCCATCTAAATTCTATTTCACAAAGTTGGATTAATGTACAGGAGTCCAAATATCTCTCAACTAGCAACCAAGATGTCTAGGTCTTGTTGCACAATCCCAAGGAAAATTGGGGCTGCAAACTGCCATTGTATCACTGGCAAACACAAAAAAAAATGTTCCCTAAATTGTCCACAAACAGGAGTTTGTGAAAACCAGACCTCTTTTTCATCTGCAACAAAATATACAAATGATCCTTGAAGCATTACTAACCACCGCTAGGTAGTACTGAATTCGTCAAGCAAGTTCCATGAATAAGAGAACTATATGTAGCACGATTTGGCATTAAACCCCTTCTCATCATGTCATCACGCAATTCAAAAGCTTTGGTGAGTTCTCCAGCAACACAGCAACCATATATTAAAAAATTATATGCTACTGTATCAGGATTCAGACCCTTGTTCAGCATGGAGTCCCACAGCTTCACTGCTTCCTGTAAATCACCCCTTTTACAGAACTCATAAATAATTGTTGAATAACTTATACAATCCGGGAAGATACGGTTCTCCATCATTTCAATTAGAATCTTGGCAGCTTCCTGAATTCTACCCAATTTGCAGAAACCCCGAATGAGTATATTATATGTGACGGTGTTTGCTAAGAACCCTTTAAGCATTGCATTGTGCAACAACAAAGCTTTTTCCATATATCCTTCTCTGGTAAGGTAATCAAGGAAACAACCGTATGTAATCTGATTTGGAAGGTTGCTGCTAACTAGCATTTGCTTGCAAAGAAGCTCGGCTTCATCCACAAATCCTGCTTTACACAAGGCATTTATCATGGCAGTATATGTCACAACATTCGGGATGCATCCTTCGCTAATCATTAAATTCCAAAATTCAGAAGCCTTTTTAAGATTTCCTGCTTTGCCATATGCATCAATCATATTAGTATATATAACATTATCAGGCCTCAATCCATGATCATGCATCTCCTTCAGAAGATGCAACAATCTTTTTGGATTCTGCTGTTTTAGAGCTCCATAAATAAGTACAGCATAACATACAAGATCCATGTCAACTCCTCTTTCCACCATCTCGCTGCAAGCATCCAGTGCATCCTTAAATCTTCCTTCCTTGCAATAACCATGAAGAAGGGCACTAAGGCACAGCTCATTTAACTTTTGCTGCTCTTTGTGAAGGTCATCCATGAACTCTTTGGCTTCAGACACCCTACCCGTCGAACAAAGCCCACTTATAAGAGGCCTATAGGTATATGTATCTGGTACAAGTCCCTTCTCAATCATCTCATCAAACAATTCAAAGGCTCTTACTGTATTGCCATCCCTGCAGTACCCTTCAATCATAACATTATAAGTAACTTCAGTTGGGGTGACACTCTGTTCCACCATTTCATCAAACAACTTGCTGGCTTCAGTCATCATACTTGTACGACAGAGACCAGAAATAAGCGCAGTGAAGGAGTATGTATTTGGTGAAATACCTTTCCCCGTCATCTCATGATAGAGCCTAAATGCCTTTTGCACTTCTCCTTCCTTGCAATATCCACTAATCAGTGAAGTGTAGGTGACAACAGTAGGTGACAACCCTTTGTTAATCATATTGTTAAAGAAAGCCTCTGCCATACTCAATTGACCAAACTTGCAATGCCCATTTATCAGAGAATTGAAGGGATACACGGTTGCTTTAATTCCTGCCTCAGTCATTTTATGAAGAAAAAGAAGCGCGGCATCCAATTTTCCCCTTTTGCAAAATGAATCAATCAACACAGAATATGTAACATCATTGGGGAACAAACCCTGTTTCTCCATGTTTACAAAAAGTGATTCAGCTTCTTCCAATTTGCCGCCTTTGCACAAAGAATTGATCAATGCATTGTAAACAAACAAATTAGGTAATGCCCCAAGCTTCCCCACTTTATTAACCAAATCAAAAGCCTCCACAACATTATTATTCTTCCTTAGCCCCTCAACAAGACACGAGACAGCGGCCTCACTCGGAACAAAGCCCAACTCAACCATCTCATTTATTAATTCTCGAGCAACTTTAAATTCTTGCACTTTGCACATACCAAGTATTAATGTACAATACGTGACAATATCAGCTTTCAGTCCCTTGCAACCCAACAAATTCTTGATCTCAACTGCCTCCCAAGCTCTTTGGTTCTTACAGAGACCATGAATCAAAACATTATAAGTCACAACACTCAATTCACACCCACTAGACTCCATCCAAAGGATCATTTCCCTTGCCCTATCAAAATCCTTCAATTCACATAAACTTCGAACCGCCGCAGTGTACATATAAACATCAGGCCGAACTCCAGAACTCACAATCTCATCAAACAAATCCGAAACCATATCGAAACGCCTGATTCTAACCAAGCCGTTTAAAACAGCACTAAAAGTCCTAACTTCAGGCAATAATTTACACTCCCTCATGAACTTCACAATCAGAACACCGTCCCACACCCTCTTGCTTTGCACATATGCTTGAATTAATAAATCAAACGCTAAAGTTGAAGAAAAGTTGCATTTTTCATATGAATTCATGAAACAATCAAAAACTAATCTAGGGTTGGATGTTCGCAGGAGTAGCGTTTGCAGGACCGAAGAGGCCGGCCAAAAGAGATTGGAGTGAACCAGTGCATGAATGAGAATGCAAAACGACGCCGTGGAGTGGTTGAAATTTTTGTGAAGACCTAAGAAGTTGAAGAAGCGTAATGCTAACCTGGAGTCGTCTAGGGTTTGGGCCAAGATCGTCTCGACGTGGTGTGGCTTCAAATTGTTGAAAATGGAGGTGTTGTTGAATGCGATTTTCCAGCTTTGATTGCCTCGGACGATGTCTCTGAGGGTTGCTATGAAATTTTCGTCATTATACTGATCTTCGGTGGCGGTGGACGAGGATGTGGTGGTGGTGGAAATGGGAATGGATTTGATTGGGAAATTAGGGTTTGAAAGGGGTCGATGGGAACGGAAGAGCTTCATTTTGTTGTTTCAGGACCAATTCAGGTGTGTGCGGTATTTGGGGCCATGTTTAGTGTGTGTAAATTTGCATTCCATAGGTGGAATGGCGCTTCCGGAAGCACGGAGTAATACAAACATTGAATTGTTTTTAGATACTCCATCTGTTTCAAAATAATTCGTTACTTAAAACTGTAACAAACAAATTAAAATACTTGTGAGTCTAATTGTCAAAATATTCAACTATTTTGATACAGAAGAAATAATAAAATAACGAGAAGAAGAAGAAGGAACAAAAAATAAAAATAAAAATAAAAATAAAAATTATTTAAAAAACTACACTTAAATAAATTTAAGAATATTAAATAACAAATCAATTTATTTTTAAAATTAATTTAAAATAATTACATATGCATAAATAATTATTATTTATGTCCAAAATATTCTCCGAATTCTTATTTCAAAATACCAAAATATCCTTCCTAAATCAAATAATTCTTTCATTCATAAAATTTAAAAAAACAAGACTTTTGAGTTGAGTTTCAATTTGGCATTTTTGCATATGATGTATATATTACTAAAATAAAAAACAACATATATATATATATATATATATTTATATATTTGTACAAAGAACTTCTTATATATATCGGTTCAAACCTCAAATGTCAATTTAGAAATATATAAAAAAAATTAGTAAAAGTTCATTATGAATAGAATTTTTTTTCGGTTAGTGGAAATTCATCATATATATATATATATATATATACACACATACACACACACATACAGTACACACACGGTGGAGGGAGATCATGAAAAAGCTAAATGGTTACGGCAATAAATGGTACATCAACTATCATTTTTTCTATTTATTTATAAAACATGTGTAATTAATTGAGCCAAAAAATTGATGATCATCTCAAGGCATGTACCATAGCAAAGATGATTTATATATTCTTGAGTTTAATTATATTTTTCTTTTTGGGGACTAACCTTTGATTGCCCCATTTTTTACTATATTGAATCTTTTTTATTATTTGTATAAGTTCTGTGTGTATATTTATGAAAGTTGTAGCAATATAGTTTAAAATTAAAGGAAATCTCTTATATTCCTAAATTTTTCAAGTAAAAAAAATTATTTATAGAAAGTACTTCATTTTAGAGGAATACTTTATAGTATTTTGGAATAAGTGTTTGGAGGGCATTTTAGACCTAAACAATAGTTATTGATACATATGTAATTATTTTACTTAATTCAACCAAAGTGAAAAATGAACTTTTAAAATAGACCATTTTATTATTTAAGGCTCATAACTTTAAGTTCAGTTTTCCAAAAAAAAAATTTGATAGAATTTAATTTTTTTTTTTAAAAAAATTGATGCATGAAAGTATAGTTCTAAAAGGATTAATGTGCAATCATATTTCTAAAAATTATTTTAGGTTTCAGATAGATAATAAGATCGTCACCTTTTACAAACTGATAGGTAAAAAAAAAAAAGAGGTTCTTGACCTTTCAAATAAAGCAAATGCTTTTCTCTGATAAACATGAGATACTTACATCCACAAAAATAAGAGTGCACTTAATTAGAGAGTTATATTCCCCTTCCATTTACAATCTAAATCATATTTTCCTCCTCCTTTTTTTCATTTCATTGTCAGTTGCAAATAAGAGAAAAATCATATCACTATTTTCTTTCATAATTATTCAAATAATGGTGTATTTGGTATGCAGTAATCAAATGGAATGCGGCTGGAATTTGGTATGCATTAATCAAATAGAAAGCGAGTGAAAATGGACTGAAAATGAAAATATAATGAAATGGTCATTCACATTATATTATTTGATTACAAATATGAAATAATCTAGAAATAGAATGATTATTATCATTCTAATGTTTAGTTGCACCAATTTAAGACATAGAATGTTGTAAAATAAAAAGTTAAGACATAGAATGAATGAATGTAAATTGAATTTTTCTAAATACCCATTTTTGCGATAAATAAATTAATAAAATAGCATTATTTTATAATTTTTTAAAAAGAAATGAAGGCGATAGTAGATGACGGTGATGATGGTGGTGAAACTGAAAGGCGTCAGTGGTGTAGGTTTTAATGTTACCGATTTTCCCTATTTTCTATTTCTGGAATTTATTTAATTTTTCTGGATTATTTTAATCCTTACCTCATTTTGCGTGCCACATGGGCCCCGAGGAGTGTTTTGGTCATTTTTGAGCCGAGGGTTTTAGAAGTGTATTTTTAATCATTTTTAAGTCAATTAGAAGTGACGGTTTCATTTTTAGAATTTTTCAGAAGTCGGGACGATTTTCGGACCCGGGAACTTCTCTCAGTTTTCTCATCTTAAGTGAGGGGCGTTATCGACATTTCACATGTGTGTGTGTATTTATATGCATGTATGTATGTTGCATTAGTGGTATTAAATGGAGGGTGATATTTTATGGCATGGTTGAAGTTATAAAGAAGTTTAAGGGGCATTTTTGTCATTTTAGCTTCATGGACCAACCTAAAGAATATAGAATCCAAGAGGGTAGCTTCATTTTGACCCATTCTTTTCTTTCCCTTCATTTTTCGGCAGACATGCCCTCTCTCTCTATTTTCGTTCTCTCTATATATTACTTTTTTCCTTCTCTCTATAATTTTTTCATGCTAAAAGAAGATTTGGTTTAAGTTAGAGTTAGCAAATTATAGATCATTGCAAGGGCTACGTGTTGGTTCCAGTATTACAAGCTTTTGGTGGGATTTAAGTTTGGAGCTTAGAGCTTGGGTTGCTATCTTGAGGTAGGGGAAGTCTAAACTACGAATTCCTATGGTTTTAGTGAGTTTCCTATATATTATTTACATGTAAATCTTATTGGTGTGAGCATGTTTAGTTTTGTGAAGTATTGAGTTGCGAAGCATGATTTATTCTTGATGTAAATATGATGATATATGCTAATTATGTAATGCATGACATTATTACATGATGAAATGGTTTGCGAATTTGTGAAATTCATGTATGATGTTATAGCTTGTATTCCTGATCTCCTCTTCTTTGGTTGTGGCTCACGGGATTTTTAAGAATGTACTTTAAGCTTTTTCTAATGAGTTATTGAGCTCACCCTATTATCATTAACATTTTTCAGGAATTCGGAGAAGAACCGGTAAATTGTGTGCATCCATGGACATTGATGTAGTTAGGAATTCATTTCATTTTATTTATATTAAAGCTATGTAAATTTTGGCCATGGAGGCCTCATTCTTGTAATTAATTCTTTAGAAATTGATATTTCGATGAAAATGTTTATAATGTAAATGAACATGTATTTATTGAAACTTCTCAAGTATTTGGATTCATGTAACGCCTTATGGTTATATTTTGAAGTAAAATGAGACTATGTAATTATTTCATGATGAATGGGTAATGAAGTTATATTCCGACCAGTTATAGATACCTTTCAACTGTATTATATCATGTTCTATTGCCTTAAATTCTGAATTTGATCGCATAACAGGTCCGGCATAAGTTTGGTTCATAACGAGCAAAGTTGGAGATCATTTTAGAGAGTTCCATGGTGAGAGGCCTTGTTTCAGCTGGCTGAACCCCACTGTCAGAATGACCAACCATGCAAGTCAGAACGACTGACCATGTAGGTCAAACCGACCGACTGGGTAGGCCAACCGAACGATCATACCCTGTCAGACCGATCGACCAGGCTGGCCAGCCGAACGATTAACCGTGTCAGACCAACCGACCAGGCTGGCCAGCCGAACGATCAACCATGTCAGACCGACCGACCGACCAGGTTGGCCAGCTGAACGATCAACCGTGTCAGATCGACCGACTTGGTAGTTCAGCCGAACGATTATGCCTGTCAGACCAATCTACCAGGTAGGTCAGCTGAACGATTATGCCTATCAGACCGACCGACTAGGTAGGCTAGCCGAATGATCATGCCCGATCAGCCGACCAACCAAGGGCTATTAGCTGGTCGACCCTTCCTCACAGACTTGCACATTTGACCCTCTTTGTAAGGTTGTGTCTTAGAGCATTTTGGACAATGGATTGACTCGTTTGACAGTTATGGACACAAGAAATGGATGGTTTGACTTAGTTGACCTCAGGTTCGGGTAAGGACCCGGTTAACGATTCGGAACCATGGGTTCTGGTCGTTACATAGGTGCTGGTGTTGGAATGCGGTGGTGGTGACTATGAAGGAAGCCAATGGTGGTGAAAGGTGGTGGCGGTGGCGGTGGCAAAAGCGGTGGTAGTGGAAGGCAGTAGCAGCAATGTGATACCCCTTGATTCTAGAACCACGGGTGATCAAGTCCGAGCACAGATCCGAGGGATACTAGACAATTAATATATAAACAAGCAGGAATACAAAAAGAATTAAGAACAAATTAATAAAGGTTGAAAGAATTCTAAATATTAAATACTTAAAAGTTATAAAACTAACATTATCCAAACTTCCAATATCCGTACAACTCGGGAATCCATCTAGTGGACTCTTAATAAAATCCAATAAAAAGTAAAGTATCGAAACCAAATCCAACACTAAAACATGAAAAGTAATCCTACGTAGTCGGAGGAGTGAGTGACTGTATCTGCTCAGCACGATCAAGCCGAACACCTAAAAAATAAGAGTGGGTCAGACCCACTAGCAAGTTCTATCATACTACAATCCATATAGAAACCCGATACGCAGATACATCCTAAATAGCTTAGCAATAACTAAAATAGTCCATATATGTATAAATACACACTATAGGACGCTCACTAGCCTATAGTTTAGTCTCAGCCTGAATAGAAAGTAACATGCAAATCGCACATCACGGTGGGCATGTATACCTAGACCTACCAGGGAACAACAACTATATCCAGTTATCTATCCTAGGCGATATACGCACCCTAACCATGATCCTGAGACTCAAGCTCATATCACGGTACCATAAGAATATATATATAAATAATCCTTCATAATACAGAATATAAAACAAACATCCAATATGTCGTTCAACTGTTTTAGTTGACAAGACGTGAATCCATGTAGGATTTAACTGTTTTAGTTAATCCATTCCGTATGTATAGATAGGAATTAGCGTTTTGATCTAATCCATCCCTTATATGCCACCGTCCCATACCAGTGCATATAATGCATATGATCCATAAATGATGCAACACTTATATGAACATCAAATACATCCAGAAACAAGCATAATAAAAGTCAAATATATGCAAGATCCTATTATGCATCCAGTATATGATTATAATCATATAACCTCCGTTTAAATTACTAGAGTAAAAATAAATAATTTAAATCATCCATATCCATATAGTTGACATAACATAATTAAAATAGTCCATCAATTAAAAATCCAGAGAATGATATAATGATAACCAGAAATATAAATTGAGCACATTATATGAAATCCCAAAAATACTTCCATA